AATAATCAAAGAATTAATATACAAACTATGTAAACAGCTCCTATGACTAGTTGTCATTGTTTGGCATTTACTATGCAGCAGGCGCTATTCTTGGTGTTTTGCATGGATTATCTCATATAATCTTCGCGTGACCTTATGAGATAGGCCCTGAATAAGAAACTAAAATTTAGGTAATTTTTCTGAGGCCGCCTGCTTAGCAAGTGCAGACCAGGATACCAACCCAGAATCCACATATGTCACCATCACACTATGATGTTTCTCAATAAAATTTTAACCTAGCCCTGGCCAGTTTGGCTCAGTGGTTAGCGCATCAACCCACGGGCCAAAGGGTCCCGGGTTTGATTCCCAGTCAAGGGCGTGTACCTCGGTTGCAGACTCGATCCCTGGCCCTGGTCAGGGCTCTTGCGGGAGACAACCAATCGACATGTCTCTGTCACATTAATGTCTCTCCCTCCTTCCTCCCCTCCACTGTCTAAAAAAATCAATGGAAAAAATATCCTCAGGTGAGGATTAAAAAAAAAAAATTACTATTCTTGTTAGGAAATACTAAAAATAGCAGGCTTTGGGGAAAACACATTTTGGGTTCATTCCCCACTTGAACCATGGGATGGTGATTCAGCCACTTTCTTGTGCTTTGTGCAACTCTAATTATGCTAGTTTGTCACTTTGCTGTCTATTCATCTTGCCTTCCCTAGGAGCTCTGATACTACCTGAAGGGAGAGACACCCTGCCTGTTGTTGGACTTAAAGTTAACATTCTGTTTAATAAGAACATTTTCCACAATACGTGGTTTCCCATGAAAATGTTTGATGACCTTGTTTTATTGGCACAAAATAACACATAAACTAAGTTTTGCGTGCAGGAAGAAACTCTTTCTGTACACTTGCAGCCGTGAGGTGCAGGCTACGGAACCCCTTGCTGGTTGCTCTTCCCAGCGTTGACCATCAGCCAAGCATTTGGTGTTTTGCCATAACATGAAGGAAAGCATCCAAAAACTAAGAATTTTGGAACACCCAGACGATCTAGCTGTCTCTTCAGCTCCACGAGCTTCAGATTTGCAGTAATTATGAAGGAGTCTGGCTGTGACTGGTTTTCTTTTAAACGCTGCACTATTTTGATTCGTGTCCATTTGGCCCACCCCGTGTGGAGCAGACACAATGAGGCCGGTCTTTATCAGAGAGGCAGTACACTGTGTATTGTACAGTTCAGAGTTTGTTTTCCTTTGGACTGCCAGAGGGAACCTCCCATTTTCCTAGCAGTAGGAACACCCCTGGAGGCTGGCCCTCGCCGGCCTGCCCTCCCACCCCGCAGGCTCTGCAGACCCAGCCAGCGGGGCTGACCACTTGTGCCTGGGAAGCCAGCTAGCTCACTTTCCTTCCTCGGGCCACCGGTATGCTTGTGCCTTGCACAGCCAGGGACTCACAGCTGTCCAAGTTGCAGACTTTCTGACTTGCATTTTCAGCCGAGAATGCAGGCTGATAAATACAGGTTAAGTAGTAGAAGTGTCAAAAAGGAGCTGGTGATCGAGTCCCCTCTGCAACGCAAGGATGCAACTCAGGGAGAAGTGGAAGCAGAGAGCCCAGGGCCAGTACTGGTAAGGGGCTCATCCCCTGCGATTCTGTTGCCATCCCCAACAGTGCCTATATTGTCTGCGTGCTTGGTGCCTTCTTGCCCTCTGTTGGATTTTAAAACTTGCTTTGCCGTCTCCTGTGAACTCTCCTCTCTCTCTTTTCCTGTAGATTGTCTTCGGTTCCACTTTGATTTTCTTTGTAAGGAAAGATATGTTGACATTTTGTGGATGAATGTGGCTTCCAGGAGGCTTCTTTGTATAGAACAAACATGTATTGTTTAAAATTATGTCCCATTTAGCTGTACTGTTGCCAAAGGTACACCCAGGGAGGCACATTTTAATTGCCTTCTATAGGGCTGAAAAAGATATCCTTTGTAAAATGAAAACATTTTTACATTATGCATTTATGTTATTGTGAAAATAAGGAAGATGACATTGGGCAGTTTGAAGGAACATAACTGTTGAAGTTACATGTGGTCTCACTCGTTTTAACAGGTTTGACTTGAACAAAGTAAGAAATAACCTATATTTCGAATCAATTTCTAGAAAAGTTTCTGTTGTTAACATTAGCTAAACTCATAGCAGTTTGATAAATTCCAGTGCTTCGGTAGACTTTGTAAGAGAGGAATGTGAAAAATGGTTGTGTTGTTAGCATCAATGAGTAGGTTGTGCTTCTCTCTCGGAATGTCTTTAGTACAATAAAGGCACATATTTTTTTAAAGCAAACTGTAAAAAACCACCAACATGCACTGCATAGGAGACAATTGAGCCTTTCAAATGAGCTGTTAAATGGATGGGTAAACTAGTACTTGGTGATTTTATATAGTGATTTTTTTAAACAGAAGTCCAGTTGTCATTATCATAAAGTGTTTGGCTAATTAACTTAATTTTCAACTAATGTCTTTAAGAATCTGAACTTAAACTTTCCTATAGTGGATTTGATTTGAATTCAACTCTTTCCTCTGACACGTGAAACTGCCTTATGCTGTATTGCCTTCAAAATTAAATTGCTAACTGTGAACGGAGAAAGTAAAGTTCAGTGGGCCTTTCACTGAAGGTTTTTCCTCTACGAGGTTTAGGCTCCCACCCTGGTATATTGTTTAGAGGTGTTATTCATTATCTTGGAATCCTTTCTGTTAGCACAATGGTTCATTTATTTATTGAGTAGCTTGACCCGCTTACATGCTATATAGACTTAATTGGTTAAAGCTCCCAGCTGATGTAGCTTATGATTTCTTGGAAGAAGTTGTGTGGTTTGGGTTCCCTTGTGAATCTTCTTAAAAATCTTTTGTCAGTGATTCTTCAGATATATAGAAATATTTGTCCAGATGATTAAATATACTATAGAAAGATGCTTTGTGATTTATTTTTAATTCCACAAGTGACTGTTAAAAAAGATTATATTTCTACTGCATACAAAAAATCAGCCTCTCATATCCCAGTTATTTGTTTAGGGCAGATCTCACTCCAGGCATTTCTACGGGGAGTTTGTTTGCTACTGTAATGGATAAGGCTATGCTGGCTGCAGCTGCCGCTGGTGGGAATGCTCTTCAGGGCTCAGAAGCTTCTGGCAGCACTGAGAGCTCTGGCTCTGCACCTGCAGAGGGAGGTGTGAGTGAGAGGTGAAGGCAACAGTGATACAACAACAAGAAACTTTTCCTTATCTGATAGTGTCTCTCTTCTTCCATGGGGGTGAGGGGTGGGAGGGGTAAGCAAGATAAAAAGAGCTATTATCAGATAAGAGAAGCAAAGATATTTAAGTGGGGCTTCTGCCCAGGACAGATCTCCTTACCTGTGATTATCGCTGCCCACAGCAAATGAGAATTCGACAAACTGCTTGGGATACAACTTTTTACCCCAGATGGTTTTTAAAAAGTATGCTCTCACAGCCATGAGATCTATTTCTTGTAGCGCTATTCGTTATTATGTCAGTAGCCCACACACACACACACAGAGAATCCCTAAGTCTATAACGTTTAAATGTAAATAACTTTATTCAAAAGATAGCATTTTGACATCAAGTTCTGCTGGTTTTAGTTATGTACACAATCAGTCCTTGGGAAATATTACATAGTTTAGAAAGAATAAAAGTAATTAATGCATAGAATAAAAATATAAATAGTGTAGAAAGATGGAAAAATAAAGTGCCCAGTTTTAATTATTTGTGTCCAGACTTTGTCCTGTGCATATAAAAATATAACTCTCTGTGTGTGTTTGGAAAATGTGCTAGTACTGTAGATTCCTACCTTAATTTTCTCCCAGAACATATCAAGAACATGTTTCTTTGTCACTATATGTAGATTTATGCCATTCTTTTTAATGGCTGTATATTATTCCACTTTATAGCTGTACCATAATTCAATGGTTATTCAACTTGTTTTCAGTTCTCTGCAATTATTACAATGTACAGTCATTGAAAAAATAACTTTGTGGGCTGTGAATGACTAACAGTGAATGTACTAGTAAATGTATCTTTAAGCACTTACACAAGTCAGAAGTACTTGTTCTAAAACTTCTATCAGAAGTCTCCTCTGGGCATTCATTGGCAATGATGCTTCTTTCCCCTCTGTTAGGACAAAGGTTAAGGTTGCCTTTAGCAGTGGCTGCTTGTTCTGTGCAAGGTAAAAGCAGTATTTATATGAGAAGTATGTGTTTGGACATTGTACAGTTTCAGAGGCTGCAGTGTTCAACTTACGGGCACCTACGTAGGTCTTGTCCTCTCATTGTGACAGTAAGCGGGGGAGGAAGTTCATGGTGAAACTCCCCTGTTCCTACCCAGGCTTACTGCCAACCCCATTGAAAAATGCCTTTGTGGGCTGTGAATGACTAACAGGGGAGCAATCAGGATATTCTTAATGTCTATAAGTTAGTTACCCTGCTTACATTTGAATACCTATTTTTGCCTCCCAAACTCTAAAGTAATTCCTGGTAAAAATTTATTCTAATTGTCACTGCCCAACAATTTAGAAGAAAAGGGTGTGGCCTCAAAGAGCCAGAAATGGCTGGAGATGTGTCGTTTGTGTTGTCCTTTCATTGAGTTACTTTCAAGGCACAGGTAAGGACTGCAGCACAGGTCTTATGTGAGGAATTTTGAAGGTTCAAAGATGCGAAGATAGAAAAGAGCTGAATTTTCATGTGTTAGATATACTCATTAGGTGGTTTTTGTAAAGTTTCTTTTTTAGAGACACCTTTTCTAGTTATGTTATTTTTCTGGGATCTTCAGGTGTTAAAACCTGAATCTGAGTTCTTACTTTGATGTCTGAATGAACAGATGATTAGCTAACTGACTATGTGAGAAGGCAGCATGTGTGCCAATATAGAAAGGAGGGGGAGACTGGGCTTCTGGTCGGACAAGTCAGTGCGTTACATTACCTGGGAAAACCTTTTCTCTCCCAGAGTTCTCTTTACTTTAGAAATAATAGCAGAATAAGTGAATTAAGACACAAACCCTGGAGTATAAGCGTATGGACAGTGATCATGATGTCTTGTAAGACTTTAGATGTCTGTGGTTGAATTAATTAAATTATACTTATAAAGCCCTTCTGCCCTACAGGTTTTCCTTCATCCCTACAGATGTCTTTAGAAATAATGATATTAACTACCTTGGTGATACTTAATAAGTAGTTTCTTTGTTTTTAAAATATTGAGTGGTGAAGGAAAGAAGTTCCTGCAAGGTTTATGTGGTGGACATGTTCCCAGATGAAAAAAAAATTGGGAAAGTTTACTTATTCAGAGCCATAAGCCTTCACTATGCTTTTTGGCTTTCTCCTTCATTTGTTCATTCTTTCGCTCATTAGACCCATATTATTTATTTATTTATAAATTTGTTTTTTATTGATTTCAGAGAGAGGAAGGGAGAGAGAGAGACAGAGATAGAAACATCAATGATGAGAGACAGTCATTGATTGGCTGCCTTCTGCATGCCCCCAACTGGGGATCTATCCTATAACCCAGGCATGTGCCTTGACCTGGAATCGAACCTTGATCTCCTGGGTCATAGGTTGATGCTCAACCACTGAACCACACTAGCCGGGCATTAGACCCATATTTACAAGCACTGAGATTTGCCAGACTTACTGTATAAGTGCACTGGGGAGACAGGTGAGCGAGATCAACATACTCCCTCTCTCCAAGCAGCAATGTATAGGTAAGGAGGGGCTTTTCACACGGTGCTTACTAGGCATGGGTGAGTGTTAATCTGGCCCATCCTTTCCCACTAAGACAGTGTTCAAATCATCATTGGCTCCAGCAGGACATGATTTTGATTTTTGGGAGTACCTAAAGCAGGCCTAGCCCTGCTTTACAGAAGGCACAAGGGCCCCTGACTCTTCTATGAATAGTTTGCATGAATGAGGCCCCCAAAGTTGCACACATACTTTGTGGAGTGGTCAGTGGAAGGACTCTTTAGAGGGTGCATGCTTAGATAGTGTCAGGGTGAATTTAATAACCTGGCCAGCATGGAAAACTATTCCAGAGAAGGGGCTTCCACAGCTTGTGTCACTACCTCATTGCAGCACTGAGCTGCTCCTACCTTCCGGGCTTCTTGCTTGTGTAGAACACGAAAATCCACCTAGCTCTGGGGTGTTTTTTTGCTCATGTCTGTCATCAATGTGGAGGTAACAGTAATGCCAATTGGTTTTTTTGTTTGTTTGTTTGGTGCAATAATACAATAGGAAAAATATATATATGCCTTGCTCTGTGCCAGACACTGTTTTAAGCCTGTTAAATATGTAAAATGAGAAGCATGTAGTAAATAATCTCTAAGATCTCTTCTGGGGCTAATGTTTCAGGGTTTTTAGTGTTGATCCCAGAATAACCTGTGATGGAGTCAGATCAAGACCCTAGAAATTTTAGTTTTAGGTTCTAAGCTTATTTTATCCAAAATCTTTTGGGTTTTGAATTGTAACAACTCCAAAACGGGATATTGGTTTTTCACCCAATGTAAATGAGTAACACTGGTGGAATGCGTTGACCAACCTGGAAATAAGTAAAAGTGGCAGCAGAATTTGGAGTCAGCAGGGAAT